TAGTTCATATTGTGTAAGACTAGCCTCTTTTTATTAAATCTAACTCTTGTTGATCCACTGCCTAGCTTTTCATTGATTTGCTTTGCTAAGACAAATTCTCAACTAGCTCTTACATTTTGTACATGGAATGTATAGTGTATAAAACTTTCTCCAAAACAAGCTGGTATAAAAAATTATTCCAAAACAAGGGATTCCTACCCAACAATGTCTAAAACGATTAAAAATCAGTAAAAATGAAAAGAATAAAATTGAAAATTTCTGCAAATGCTTGAAGAATATTTATTTTCTTCCTCTCTTCTGAGATAATACAATTGCATGATTACAAAGTCTGTTGAAAGTTATTCACCCAAAAAAGTTCTGTTAAAAGTTGAACCTCCACGATTATACTCTAGGAAGATAATAAATAAGAATCTTATAAGAACATTAATATTAAATTAGAATCTTTTAACAACTTAAGTTTTCAAATTTAGTACTCATTTTTCATGTTTCAATACTAAAATCTTAAAAAAAATTTATATGAAAATAATAAAATACAATATATGAAAAAAAAAATGTTATCAAAATATGAATATGCATGGAGAAATCATAAAATTTTAAAATAAGTATAATAAATAATTTTTATAAATAACTATAACAAAAATAACATAAAATTTTAAAAATTATTAAATAATAATTCTATTTTACAAAATCAATAAAACACTTAAAAATCACTTATTTTTGTAAGTAAAACAAACTTGACCTCTAACTTGTGTGGTGATGGCAAAGACTCAACTTGAGCCACACATTGATATTAGCAATATAAAAAGACCAAGTCAATGTTAACTTTTGCAATGGTTCCAACCTCCAAGGCTCAACTTCACTTGTCTATTCATATGTACTTACAAGAAAGGAAGACTGAAGAACATGTAAGGAAGTCACACTGACATTAACACTCGGCAATATATTTTGTTAATTTCTACGTGGAAGAATTTCCAGAAAAAAGATTACATTTAACCAACGTTAATGCGTGCCTTGTGAGGATGATTAAATCTTGGAATTTGTGACAATGATTATATACATTGTTTTGCCACAATTATATATATGTATATGTATATAATGTTAGGTAAAAATATGATATATATTTAATAAATTAATTTATAGTTTATAATTTTATATAATTTATGTATTTTTGTGCTTACATATTAATTTTTTTGGCCCTAAAATATGTATATATGTATGTTTGTTATAATGTTATAATTATAATAACTCAATTTTTAATTTGATAATAATTTGAGTTATGAATTATAATCCTACTTGTAATATATATATATATATATATATTGTACATGGAATGTGTAGTGTATAAAACTTTCTCACTAATTAAATCCAAAACAAGAGATTCTTACCCAACAATGTCTAAGACGATTAAAAATCAATAAAATTGAAAATTTCTGCAAATGCTTGAAGAACATTTATTTTCTTCCTCTCTTCTGAGATGATGCAATTGCATGATTACAAAGTCTGTTGAAAGTTATTCACCAAAAAGGGTTCTATTAAAACTTATACTCTAGGAAAATAATAAATAAGGATCTTATAAAAATATTATTACTAAATTAGAATCTTTTAACAACTTAAGTTTTTAAATTCAGCACTCTTTTTTCATGTTTCAATATTAAAATCTTTAAATTTTTCTACAAACATAATAAAATACAATATATGAAAAAAAATGTTATCAAAATATGAATATGTATGGAGAAATCATAAAAGTTTAAAATAAGTAAATAAAAATAATTTTATAAATAACTATTAACAAAAATATTATAAAATTTTAAAAAATTATTAAATAATAATTCTATTTTTATAAAATCGATAAAACACCTAAAAATCACTTATTTTGTAAGTGAAACACAAACTTGACCTCTAACTTGTACGGTGGTGGCAAAGACTTGACTTAGCTTGAGCCACACATTGATATTGGCAATGTAAGAAGACCGGGTCAATGTTAACTTTTGCAATGGCTCCAACCTCCAAGAAAGGGAGATTGAAGAACATGTAGGAAGTCATGCTGATATTAACACTTGGCATTATATTTTGTCAATTTCCACATTGAAGAATTTCCAGAAAAAAAGATTGCATTTAACCAAGGTTAATGCGGCCTTGTGAGGATGATTAAATATTGTAATTTGTCACAATGATTATATATATAGTGTTTTTTTTTTGCCACAATTATATATATACATATACAATGTTAGGTAAAAATATGATATATATTTATATATTAATTTATAATTTTATATCATTCATGTATTTTTTTGCTTATATATTAAAATTTTTTTGACCCTAAAACATGAATATATGTATATTTGTTATAATAGTTTTTATAATATTATAATTACAATAACTCAATTTTTAATTTGATAATAATTTGAATTATGAATTCTAATCCTAATTGTAATATTCTTTATTTATTATTTTAGTTACATACATACATACATACATACATATATATATATATATATATATATATTTGTGCATATATATGTCTAGCAGGGTGTTGATTTTGAGTTCACAATCTTGTTAGTTTTGAATGGTTGCTCCATTTCATGACAGCTAAACATTTGGTGCAAAAGGGTTATCTAGCAGGTTTGCTCTAGTGTTACTGTTTATTTCGTTGGATGATAAACAATTAGTCTAACTCTTGTGGATCCACATTACAAAGGAAATTAGTCTCTGTTATTGGCGGAATATACTCTTGATAAAAAATGCGAAAAATATACCTAGGTCTCACAAAAAAAATTATTACCAAAAAGTCTCATATAATTTACAAAATACTCCCAAGTCATAAGTCCTGCATACTTACAATTTGATAAAGGGCATTAATACTAGCTATAAAGAATATTGTAAAATTAAGCCAAAATATTTACACACTTTTTTTTAGGTTGAAGTAATAGCATTGCAGCGGTTCCATTTTACTTGTTTAAAAGCTCTCATGGCACTTTTATTTCATTTTTTATTAAAAACATTTTTTTAAAAAATAAATTTTTAGGAGATTTTATCATGTTTTTTTAAACCCTTAAATATTATCAGAATTTGTGAAAAAAGATTTTTTTTATTACTTTAAGAAGTTGCTTATGTAACTTTTGAAAATAATTGGATACATATATATAAGGGAGAGAAATAAGCTACATGAGGATATCATCAAATTCAAAATTAAGTAAATGATAAATTATTTCTTATGTATAAAGATCCATAAGAAAGATTATAAATTTTAAAATTATTAATAAATAATAAATTACTTTTTAAAAAAAAAATCTCTAAAATATTAAAAAATCCCTTATAAAACAAATGTGCCCTTAATGTATGTGACTGAGTGCAGCTATTCTAACTTGTATAGTGGTGCAAAGACTCAACTTTAGCCACAAATTCATATTAGCTATATGAGAAGACTGAGTCAATGCTAACTTGTGCAATGGCTCCAATTAAGATTTAAGTTCATCACCTATCTTTTCATATATATACTTACAAAAGAGGAACACTGAAGAACATGCAAGGAAGTCACGTGGATATTAACACTTGGCAATATATTTTCTTAATTTTCACATTGAAGAATTTCCCTGAGAAATATTCCATGTAACCAAGGAAATATGATACGTATTTGATATATTATAATTTATAATTCTATACAATTCATTTTTGCGCTTATATTAATTTTCTGGCCCTAAAACATGTGTGTATATGTATCTACATGTTTGTGTGTGTATTTGTTAATGTTTTTTATAATATCATAATTATATTTGTTACTATAATTAAAAAAGAAAAATGGGGTACCATTAGAATTGTAGATCTACTATTCGTAACAGATCCAAGACCCTAGGTTAGTAGGGGCAAAAAGGTAAGTTATTAGAATTGAAATTTAGTGAGGTCAAGACATTAATTTATCAATAATTGACTCAACACTCAAACACTCATCTCTCTATATATACAGATATATTCTAAGTATGAATTTATCAATCATCCTCATTTTCCAGTCTCCCATAAACACCGATCACCTCTTGTCTTCTCGTCCATAACTTCCATTGCTAGAGCGTTAAATCCCTTTAGCAAGCATGAGAAGATCCATAAGTGATGGCATTGAGATTATTTTAATTTTCTTTCTACTTTCTTGTGCAGCTTTGCAACTCTGTTTGTGTGGGATTCTCACTGATGATGGCTGCATAGAAGAAGAGAGGCAGGCTCTTTTGAAGTTCAGGGATAGCTTTGACAATTACTCAAGGGATGTTCTCACATGGGAAGGAAAACAATGCTGCAGGTGGAAAGGAGTCAAATGTGATGGCATCATTGGGCATGTAGTCAAGATTGATCTCAGCCCAAAAACAATTCCTCACCCGACGTTGCACAGTAAAGCAATGAGTTTGTCCTTGTTGGAATTGAAACATTTGAGCTACTTGGATTTAAGCTTCATTGATTTTCAATTCAGTTCTATCACATTGTTTGTTGGGTCCATGAAAGAACTAAGGTACCTTAATCTTTCCCACTGTTCCTTTTCTAGGCGGGTACCATACCATTTGGGGAACCTCACCAACTTACGAAATCTTGATCTCAATGGAGTTCTCTCGTATGGCTTAAATGGTCAGGGACTTAATCAAGACTTATACATGGATGACTTCACTTGGGTCTCTCGACTTTCTTCTTTGCGATATATTAACATGGGGGGAGTTCACATTGAGAATGGGATCAATGATATAATGAAGGTAATTTACAATCTCCCATTCTTGTTACAAGCAGACTTTATATATTGTCATACTCCCCGCCTCATTAGTTCTAACGGTTTTGTGAACTCCTCCACTGTTCCTTCCAAGGTTCAAGTCTTGAATCTTAGGTGGAATGATCTAGATGTCATGCCCAAGGCTTTGTAAAACATGACATCCCTTAGATCCCTTGACCTCTCTTGTAACTTTTTTATTGACCTTGTTCCATTAGGATTAGGAAAGCTTAGGTTTCTAGAACATTTGGATCTGTCCATGAATAGCATTTCTGGGTTATTTCCCAATGCTATTCAAAACATGTCATCCCTTGCATTCCTTGACATTTCTGACAACAATATTCTTGGCTCAGTTCCATTATGGCTAGGAGAGTTCATGTTTCTAACCCATCTGAATCTAGCCAGGAATGAACTTTCTGGTTTGTTTCCTATTGCTATTCAAAACATTACTTCCCTCAGATTCCTTGACCTTTCGAGCAATAATTTTATTTCTAAAATTCCTTTGTGGTTCATCGAGAGGATTCAATATGTCAATCTTTCCAATAATAAATTCTCTATTCTTGAAATTTATTGTCCTTGGATTTCCAAAATCAATTACAATCTAAAATCGTTGGACTTGTTCCCAGACAAAAACTTTCAGGGAGAAACACTTAGAAGCTTAAAAAATATATATGTATGCATTAACAGTGATTTACAAACACTGGATTTGAGTCATAATGAGTTGAAAGATCTTCTAAAAAACTTAGCCTAACTTGAGAACCCTGTACGCTTGAATTTGGCTTCAAATCTGCTATATGGCCCCATCCCATTATTCTTTAGAAATTTGACCAAATTGTAATAACTAATTCTTGAAGATAATCATTTCAATGGAACAATTCCAGCATTCTTAGGGAGGTTGTCTTCCTTGAGGGGGTTAAGTCTTTATAGGAATCACCTAAAAGGTCACATCCCAGATAGTCTTGGGAAGCTTTTGAACTTGGAAATTTTGGATCTTTCAACTAACTCCTTTGAAGGGGCTCTTGGGGAGATTCTCCTTGGTAATCTGTCCAATCTCCAAGCATTAAGGGTAAGGATGAACAAGTTATCTATAGAGCTTGCCCCCAACTAGTTGCCTCCTTTTCAATTGATAGATCTTAATTTGTCATCTGGCAAAATTAACACATCATTTCCTCATTGGCTTCGAAGCCAAAAGAATTTAGTCTAGTTAGATTTATCAAACACCGGCCTTTGGGGTACCATCCCAACATGGTTTCAACAAGAGTATCTCAATACGCTAGACCTCTCTAACAACAAGATCAGTGGACAACTCCCAAGAAATCTCCATGATATGATACCCCATTTGACTAGTTTGTTCCTTGGTAACAACCTTTTGAATGGTTCTATTCCAAAATCACTGTGTAAATTGAATGGGATAATGGAGATTTGGATCTTTCAAAAAATAAATTATCCAGTGAGATTCCTAGCTGTTTGGGTGAAATTTCCATAAAATTGGTAGATCTATCATCTAATCAATTATCAGGCACCATTCCTCAGTCATTATATAGGTCTGATTCATTAGAATCTTTGAACTTGAGCAACAATAGTTTGCATGGAGAGCTTCCATCAACCTTGCAATCTTGCCACTTCTTGAATATTTTGGATCTTGGCAACAATGGACTATATGGCAATATACCTTCAAGTATGTGGGTTGATTTTAGTGAAATCAGAATTCTTAGGCTTCGCCAAAACAAATTTAATGGTAATATCCCATCAAGCCTCTGCCAACTCCCTTACTTGCAAATCTTGGATCTCGCAAATAACAACTTCACAGGCATAATTCCTTTTTGCATTGGGAATCTTAGGGGAATGATGATAAACAAACAAGCATTAGATTATCAATCAGAGGTAGATGAAGCTTCTGAACCACTAGTACCTGCAAGTAGTCCTATGTATCTTCCAGACTTTGATCAATGGCAAAAAGTACATGTCAAGCAATTCATGAAAGGAAGAGAATTTGATTACATAAGAACTCTCCAATATGTAATTAACATGGACTTGTCAAGCAACAACCTTGTTGGCTTTATACCAGAAGTTATAACTTCTCTCAATGGATTGGTTAACTTGAATTTATCACACAACTCTTTATCAGGAGAAATTCCAAGCAAAATAGGGAAAATGAAGTTTCTAGAATCACTGGACCTCTCATGGAACCAACTTGAAGGTGCACTTCCAAGTAGCATGTCTTCTTTGACATTTTTAACCCGCTTGAATTTGTCATACAACAACTTTTCAGGGCCAATTCCAGAGGAAAATCAGTTCCTTGCACTTGAGGATCCATCCATTTACATTGGAAATCAATATCTCTGTGGAGAACCTGTGCTGAAAAAATGCTCCCGGGATGACAATAATGAAGCTCCAATTTATGAAGGCAAAGACGATGACAACAAAAAAGAAAAGATCCTGTTTTACTTTGTTGTTACCCTTGGTTTCATGACAGGATTCTGGGGAGCTATTGGAGTCCTAGTGGTCAACAAGAGATTAAGGTATGTTTGTTTTAGATATGTGGAGAAAATAGCTGATCAAATATATGTAGCAATAGCAATAAGAGTTGCAAGGATCAAGAGAATATGGCAGAAATCTTGATGAGAGTTTGAGTTTAGCAACGGTGTAGCAGAAGGTTTGCTATTCCCCAAAGAGTTGTTATTGAACCCCATAATCTTGGATGCATAAAGCTGATCAAATCTGGCAACCCGAACACTTGTGATTGGAGGTGGCCATGTCTTGCTTCTCAGATCCTTCATATCCTGCCATTTGATGTTCAGTTTTGTTGTTTTGTTTTTGTTTGATTGTTAGTGTTCTGCTTTTCTTGTGCTGTTGTTGTTGTTGGTTTTTTTTTTTTTTAACTTCTTTGGTCATTGTTAGTTTTCACTGTTATAATGAAATTCAAGTACTATTCAGGTAAGAAAAACAATAATTGTAGTAATTGTATATAAATTAACTTTATATTAGTAAATATTAAATTATATTTTAAATTAATATTATAATTAAAACATTTTAAAAAAAATTAGGAAAAAATTTTAAATTAAATTAGTTATATTTTTATATTATCGTTCCATCATCTATCGTTTTCATTGAATATAGGAAAATTATTATAAAAAATAGACAAAGAACACAACAAAAAACCGTACTATAGGCAAACAATGCAAACACTTTTAAAAAAAAAAAAAGAACCATATATAAAAGGAAAACAATAAGCGTTTCTTCGACTGCTTGTTAGGGAGTTTTTTCCCTTGATGGAATGGAATAATGATGTGTAATGGTCATAAGGGTTCGACCATTATTTGAATTTTCTTTAAAAGAGGGAATACAATGATTAAGGTCTTAAGGATGTCATTCTTAGTCATTTTAAATATTTATAAACAATTCAATTATCAATGATTATGGTTTAGGTGTAAGCTATATACTTAAAAACACTGAGTATCCTAAACTTAGCTTGATTCATTCATCCTCTTAAACTCTCAAAACCATATCATCCTTGCACTTGTTGTTAATTGAAGTTAAGGTTAACTATTAATGCTGACATGAACTGAACTATTTGACTTTTTAGCCACTTGCCATGCCATGTGGTAAGTTTAATCAATTTGTTTTTTATACATAAAAATCTTATCTTCTTCTTAACATGGCTCAAAATGCTCCATCGTCCTTATCGTGTTTTGCACAAAAAAATCCATCATACATACAACAAAGTGCAGAGAATCAAATTGACACAAACTAAAAATGCTCCATTGTCCAAATCCAAATCCTAGTTCGAACACAAAAAATCCAAGTGCAAACCCAAAAATGCAAAAAATAGGTTCTTTTCCATTAAACACAGGAGCATTAAACAACATCAAAACCATATTTCATTAAAATTCAAACAAAATCCCAGGAATGAACACATAAAGGAACCCAAAAATGAACATAAGCAAATCCAAATGCAAAAATTAGGTTTGATAGGAGCATCAAACAACATCAGAACCATATTTCATTAAAATTCAAACAAAAACCCAGAAATGAACACATAAAGGAACCCAAAATTGAACATAAGCAAATCCAAATGCAAAAATTAGGTTCGTTTCCATCAAATACAGGAGCATCAAACAGCATCATAACTATATTTCATTAAAATTCAAATAAAAACCCATAAATGAACACATAAAGTGACCCAAAAATGAACATAAGCAAATCCAAATGCAAACATCTCAATGAACATAAAAACATCAAACATAGAAGCATCAAAACCATATTGAGATCAAGATCGACCAGAAATCATAAACATCAATATCAAACCAAAAATCACTAGCCTTTTGAAACTCAAAAAAAAAAAAATTCTGACCTACGTGAGGTGGAAGATTTGTATGCACATGGCCTGATGAATGTAGAGGTTATGACGTGGACCTTCATGGTCAAACAACATGAGTTAACAGACACCGGTAAGATCAATTAATGGTAAGGGGTGAATTGAACCAATTTTTTGAGTTTAAGCGAAAGAATGGGCCAGAATTGATTTTATGATATTGGGTGTCTTTGAACGTATAGTTTAGCTAATAACCCTTCAATTTTTCTATCTCCTTAAATTAGGGATTAAGGATAAAATGATTAAAAAAAAGATATTGTTATAATTAAAAGAATTTCTCTGCCGCTAAATCTTTTAAGTACATTATATTATCCAATATTTATCATGTATTTTTGTACCTGTGGTCTAGTGACAAACTCTCTTTTATCCAAAAACAAGCTCTCTTCTTTTTTTCTTTCATTGAGATGTACTCTCTTTGTATTCTTTTCATTGTGTGCATTTTTTTTTTGGGGCACAATTATTCTTCTATTAGAAGCAATTATGTGTAAAGGTATTAAATGTGAATACACACACATATGTATGTATATTAATATTAATGGAGATTTAAACATTAATTTGTTATATTATGAGGAATCAATTACTTGACCCGATCCGGTTGATTTCTTGTCCTAAATTGTCCTTCCATTTTTCCCACAATGTCAAGGCATAAGAAAAGTTGGATTTTTAGTTTTTTTTTTTTAACATGTGAGCCGTGATTGTTCATTGTTATGTGCCTAGTCTTTACTAACAAAAAAAATAATTATTTTATCATGTTTAATATATTTTCTTAAAAAATATTATAAAAAGTTTTAACATTTATTATCTTACTTTTTTAGTCTATATGCACACTCATAAATGTTGATCCTTTATAAAAAAAATTGATAAAAAGTTAAAAAGTTTTTTAATCCATATTAGAAAATTGAAAATAATTACATATATTGGATAAATGATTTATAATTGGCTAAATGAGGTAAGATAAAAAAAATTAAAATTGTTTGAAATAAATTTATATAATATGGTAATGTTATTCTTTTTTATAAAAGACGCGTTTTATTAATTTAGAATGCATGATTAGAAAGCTATAACAATAAGCATTCATCCACCCATATTTCTATCTAAATTACTCATAAAATTAATATTGGAATAAAAAAATCTGATGTTAATAAACAAGTAATCGGATTCTCCTTAGCAACAATAATGATGGAGATGAAGGAAGTGAATTTAAATTCTCTGAAGTTGACATATGTAGTTGTTTTGTGAAACTTGTCTTTTAAAAAAAAGAAAATATTTTATATTTTATAAAATAATAAAATGGAAAAAGATACTAAAAAATGTAAAACTTCGTATAAATTGATGAATCAACTTTAGATGATTTAAATCCAAATAGGAAAAGCAATGAAAATTGCACTAAGATAATGCGTTATTGCTAGAGCTTCCAATTGCTTCTCACACCATCTTTGACAGCGTTTTGGCTTCTACAAAAAATTTTCCCCGGTAACCTGTCATTAGTTGAAGCTTGTGTACCTGAAAATTTTAGTATTCCTAAAACATGATAATGTATAAGATGTTTGTAACAAGATTTATAACATTGTTTTGAAGGGGGAAAAAAGGATTGAAATATCTGAAAAAAAATTAGCATTATACAACACGTCTTGTATAAATTAAAATGGAAGATATATATATATATATATATATATATGGCAGACTAGAATACGTACGTCCCAAAAGGAAATTATTTATTAACATGGTCACTACTCACTAACAAACATGGCGATCACTTACTGATGAGTTTAGGAATGCTCAGTGGGTTTATAGAAGAACTTGAAATTGATAATTTTGAAGGATTACAATCAAGGACTCCAAACAAAGTACTCCCTTCGTCCCAAACCATAGAGCACTTTTAAAAGAATTTTTCCATCCCAAAATATAAAACACTTTGAATAGATTAAAATTTCATTAAATGTATCAATTTTAATATTACCCTTTCTCTCTCTATAATAAATTTTTATCCCTTTTCTTTTCAATATATTAAATGATGAGTATTTTTGAAAGTTTATATTTTTGTTTTGAAAGGATAAGGTCGTTAAGCGTATTTAATAAGGTTTATTGGTATGCGAGATTTTATCTAAAAGTGTGTTATAATTTGAGATAAAGGGAGTACATTTCAGCAATCTTGAAGGATCTTTAAGAATCACGGCCTCGGAGCCAATAGCATGTGCAAAATTAACAATGTAATGAGACATGAATTAAATATGACATGGGTGTTCATGATTCTGAGAATAAAAAGCATTATTACTTAATATCTTGTGTTTTAGTCCACACGCACACATGTAATATAAATGTTGATCCTTTATAAAAATATGAAAATAAGGTAAAAATATTTTAAACCGATGTTAAGAAATTAAAAATAGAATTGCATATATTGCATAAATTGGATAATTGATTTTATAATTGGCTAAATGATTTATTTATATTTATATATGCATGGAAAACTAGAATACCTATTTAAGTAACTGTCCGTGTAGTATGTATGGACCGTAAAGTATGAAGTGCGTTTACAATTATTTATTAATAACTTAATTAATATCCACTAATTACAAGCTAGTGGAGTAGTTTAGTCTTTAAACCAATACATAGGGAAGAGTTGACTGTAATTTAATTTATTGAAATGTTTATTTTTTCTTTCACAGTTAAATTGCTCCTTTTAAAAACTAATTTTTTCTTTCCTTTTGCACATTATAACTAAAAATCATACAATTTCCTTGTGCAACACATGAGGCGAAGAATTTTACCTAGCAGCTTGTTCAATTGGTTATTATTCACCACAAAGTCAAAATGCAATTGATCACTAAGTATTTATTTGAATAAAATATACTGCAATAATTAGTCTATGTGCATTCCTTTTTCTTCCGGATGACCAGTATGAATAATTAATTATCCCGAGTATATATAAAGTGGAGTTGGGGCTAAACCATTACATAAATTAGCATTAACTCGAGTCTTCTGTATTGCAAATATTAATATATAAATCTTCTTTGTTCTTTAGTCACACCTATAAATTAACAGCAACAACCTCATCGTCTCCGTATCCATTACTTTCCATGATTGAGCATTATAATAACCATTTAGTAAGCATGAGACGATCTCTGAGTGACGTGCTTTTGATTTTCTTTCTACTTTCTTTTGAAGCTTCACAACTCTGTTTCTGTGGAAATCTGACTGAGGAGGGCTGCATAGAAGAAGAGAGGCATGCTCTTTTGAAGTTCAG